TAATAATCTTAAAAGCATCTTCATGAGGATGAGGTGTAAAGAACTACAGAACAGAAAAGGATGCATCTTTATCTCTATACTTGCTAATATAATCAGTATTACCCTTATGTGCAAATGTATATGTATTTATGGAGCCTGTGTGTAAGTCAAAGAATGCGATAGCCTGAGCTCATCCCATCTCTTTGTCTTGCCTTAGCATGTCTCTCCGTTTTATTTTTCTTCTCTTTCTAAGTTGAGGAAACGTAGTGGTGGTTTGTGCAGATCGTCTGTGTGGTGAGGGAGCCACTGGTCAGGGAGTGGAAGACTAAGCGGGGGAAGGAAGGCAGCCAGGAGCAGGTGAGCTGCTAAGCTGGTTACTGCTGGGGGCCTTTGAGGTTAAATCCTCTGGAGAACGTAGCCAGAATGGAACACACGGCCCAGGGACTCCTGTTAGTGGCCGAGGGCCATCCCAGGGAGCCCTTAATTCCCCGTGCCTAATTCCTACCAGTATGGGCAAAGAGAGCTTTGCTAAGAAATGTGGTATCTGGGGGCGCCTGGGTGGCGCAGTCGGTTGAGCGTCCGACTTCAGCCAGGTCACGATCTCGCGGTCCGTGAGTTCGAGCCCCGCGTCGGGCTCTGGGCTGATGGCTTGGAGCCTGTTTCCGATTCTGTGTCTCCCTCTCTCTCTGCCCCTCCCCCGTTCATGCTCTGTCTCTCTCTGTCCCAAAAATAAATAAACGTTGAAAAAAAAATTAAAAAAAAAAAAAAAAAGAAATGTGGTATCTGGCAGTTAAAAGGTGGGCTTCTGTGTCCTGAAGTGTGGAGGGGAGGGGCCTGGGTGGGCACCAGCTGCGTGCTCTACACCTGCAATGTGTATTTGCTGAATTGTTCTGTATTTCACTCTTTGTGATTCCCTACAGTCTTTCCTGGATCTAATGGCAAAGATTATGTATTGTACTTTGTGTGGTTTTACAAGTGAAAAAAAATGAGGCAAGGGAAGGCCAGTCAAGCTAAGCCAAGGACTAAGTGAGCAAAGCAGAATAGAACCCAAGTTTCTTAACAATTTCACTTATTTTAGTCTGAGCATACACTAAATATTCAATAAATCTTTGACGATAGGATCATGGAGACCAAATGGTATTAATTCTCCTCTGTCTCTCTTGATGTTTACCCCTTCAGTGGTCTCCCGAGTGATTGTGGTAATGCTGGGGGGAGTCGTGGCGCCAGCCTTGTCACAGCTCAGCTCCTCTGCCCCTGTCTGCTGAATCGAGTGAGAGATCCCTGCAAGACAGTGGCACATTAAATATGACATTATTGTCAACAGTCCTCGTACCGTGTGGCATTTGTTACTAATGATCAGTCATTGCCATGACCGTTTGACTGGACAGTCCTTCAATCACAGTTTTTGAATCTTGTGTATATCTTAGATTTTAGATATACTTGTGTATGTCTCCCAAAGCATGTTTTGTATAGCCGTAGTCGTGAAACACTTGCTTTTTTTTTCTTGCCTTTTTTGAGAGAGCGAGTAAGCCAGAGCATGAGCAGGGGAGAGGGGCAGAGGGAGAGGAAGAGAGAAGATCTTAAGCAGGCCCCATATCCAGCAAAGAGCCCAGTGCGGGCCTAGCTCAAACCCACAACCCTGGGATCATGGCCTGAGCCGAAATCAAGAGTCAGATGCTTGGGGTGCCTGGGTGGCTCAGTCGGTTAAGCATCTGACTCTTGATTTCGGCTCAGGTCATGATCTCATGGTTCATGAGTTCAAGCCCCGCATAGGGCTCCTCACTGACAGAACAGAGCCTGCTTGGGCTTCTCTCTCTCCCTCTCTTTCTGCCCCTCCCCTGCTTATGCACTCCCTCTCTCCCTTTCTCTCTCTCTCTCTCAAAATAAATGAATAAACTTAAAAAAAAAAATCCTTGAAACATTCTAATCATCTTATGTTGTTGCTTTGACTTTGAAGTGGTTACCTTGGGATAGGGACACAGCAGTTATCAAAGAGTGACTTATTAATAAATCTGGGCTTTTAATAGATATCTCACTATTTAGGTTAGTGCAAGTTTGTAGTCATTACTAAAGGCTTCATCTGCCTCCTTCAAGTCAAAATCATTTGAACCTAGTGTGCAAAGTATGTGTCTTCTACTCCACTTGTTCCTCAGATATTTACCGAACACCTGCAACATAGCAGGCACTTCCCTGAGTATAGGGGCCACTAGGGTGAAGACAGTTCCTGCGCTTTGGTCCCATAGACCTCACCGCCCTGAGCCTGGTGGTTCTATGAAGTCTTAAGCTCCATGACTGGAAATGCTTTTACCAAGGGGGTTTCAGAGACCTCACCATCAAGGATGGGGAGGGATGATCCAAACTGTAGGGAACAAGAGAAATGACAGCCAAGTTTGCCTGGAGGAGTCAGGAAAGGCTTCATGGAGGTAGCAAAGAGGAAAGGAAGATTTACAGGCAGGTAGGCAGGGATGGAGCAGTGTAGGTGGTGGTATGACAATGCATGCAATGGTTTTGATGGAGGAAACATTTTTTTAATGTTTATTTATTCTTGGGAGAGAGAAAGAGCATGAGTGGGGGAGAGGCAGAGAGAGAGAGGGAGCCAGAGGATCCATAGTGCAGAGCCCGATTCAGGGCTCAAACCCATAAACCGCGAGATCATGACCTGAGCCAAAGTTGGATGCCTAACTGACTGAGCCACCCAGGCACCCCTGGAGGGAACATTATTTATAACAACTTTACTGAGATCTAATTAATGTACAACAAAGTGCACTCATTTAAAGTATACAATATGGTGAGTGTTGACAGGTGTATGCCCCATGAAATCACCACCACAATCAACATACAGAACTTTGCTTCATCCCAAAGTTTCCTCCTGCACCTTTGCAAACATTTTAATGCAAATAACGTGCCTTTTAAAACTCAGGGTGCCTGGGTGGCTCAGTAGGCTGTCTGACTCTTGTCTCAATGTGTAAGCAACAGAAAAGCAAAGCAAAGGTAAGTCCTGGCATTGTCTGCGAGGCATTCTCTGATTCCTAGGTCAGGTTAGGGCCTTTTGATTTGAGTCTCTCACCCCCAACCTATACAAGGTACTTCTCCTGTCAAAACATTCATCCTGGGACGCCTGGGTGGTTCCATCGGTTGAGTGTCCTGCTCTTGATTTTGGCTCAAGTCATGATCCCACAATTGTGAGATCGAGCCTCACATGAGGCTCGATGCTGAGAGTAGAGCCTACTTGAGATTCTCTTTCTCTCTCCCTCTGCCCCTCTCCCCTGCTTATGCTCTCTTTCTGTCTCTCTCTTTAAAATAAAAAATAAAATGTTTTTAAAAAAAACATTCACTCCCCATTTTGGTAATTACTTACTAATTGTTTCCTTTCTCCACAAGGCTATAGGCTTTTGACCCTGGTGCTAAGGTTGGTTCACTGCTATATCCTCAGCCCCTCTCACAGAGCACCTAGTAGAAACTCAACACATATTTGCATGCCTGTCAGCTGAATGTCTCCTGAACCACCATGACTAGGAGATCCTTCTAGGGAGAGGGAGTGATGCAGAGAGGACACTACCAGACAGGCCAGAAGCACTAAGACCAGAGCCTCATACAAGGTGTTGTAAAGATGCATAGCAGAAAGTAATGGAAGGTTCTACAAAGTTCATTTGAGCCAGGCCTTGAGGACTGAGGACAAGTTCTTCAAGCTGGGAGGGAAGAACATTCTAGGCCTGGGCTACAAAATACACAAGGCCACAAAAGCGTGAAAAGGTTGCATGTGACCAGCAGAAGAGGCTGGAATTTGGAAGGATGAAGACTTGCAGGCAATGCAGCTTGAGGAGTAACTGGGACCCCTGCAGGCTTATGGCAGCTGATAGCGAGGAGTTAGGACTTGACTCTTAATGTAACAGGAAGTTAGTGGAGGTTTCTAAGCAGGATAGCCATATGATCAGATTACAGTTTTAGGAAGAAATCTCTGGGATAGAGTAGAGAGGTTGTGAACCCCTCCCCCTGCAGAATGCATTTTGGGCAAGCACCAAGCACCCAGGTGGTTCTTCCACAAGTCAACACAAGACTACACCTGGAGAAGCAGTGGGATGAATGAGAAGGCGGGAGGGGAGAGGTGCCTTGGGAGGCAGGCAGGAATCTGCTGGGAGCTGAGGGCCAGCTAGTCATCCAGAGGAGCCTTTAGAACCCTCTTCTGAGGCATCTAAAACTCAGGGCCTCCTAGGGCCTAGAGCATCAGTGATGCTTATGTCACATGACACTTTGTGGTCCTGCCACGGGCATGCCTTAGTGGTCGGATGTGGGCAGAAAACCTTGGTGACACGGCCAGAAGGATCCTACCTTACTTCAGACGTAATCTGGTCACAGCTCCTGGTGTTCTGATGACTGTTTTAGTCTAATGTGAGCATGATTATTCCTGTCAGAAAAGTTTTGGTAGGAGTTCATTGGAAAAGGCAGGGGTCTTCTTTATAAGTCATGTTTGACGAGCTTAACAGTGTATTTCAAAGGTACTTTTTTGCCAGCAATGACCAACAAATTGCTCCTGAACTAGATGGGAAAGATCTAAGGACATCATCTAAGCACAACAGTATCAAAAGCATCTCCACTTGCCTTTATTTGCCCTTAAAAATCTGTACAAACAAACATGAACAGACTCTGGACTCTAAGAATAATATTTTCTGTGGACATATATGGACAGCTAAGCAAAACCCCAAGGGAGAAAAAACTTCTATTAAAATAAAAATAAAGATTCCCCACAGCTTTATCCTTTGCTCACTGGGGTCCCTTTATTCCACTTTGAGATAAAAGTACTTCAGTTTCTCAGGGGATGCTGATTAAGAGTTGAACAAAAAGAAAGTATTTTTATGTATTTATCTACCTACCTACCTACCTACCTACCTACCTTCCTGCCTACCTATCTCTGGCCCTGAATCTTCCAGCCATAAGCATAGAACTTCGTGCGTGGCTGGGATAATGGCACTTTGAGTAAATACTAACACTGCCACTCAGGAAAAAAGCCATCCTCCTCATTGGTCAGTGAGAATACTGTGCTCACTGCTTCTACCCCCATCCAAAAGCCCATATCTGTCCACAGAAATATTTAGTAAAAGGCGAAAGATTTATACGATCTGAAGAGTAACCAGAGTATCAAAAGCCCATATCTGAAGCTCGTGGAGGGCTCTGCGATCCGAATCACACCCCTCGCACCTCGCCACCCCCACTGCCTGGCACACTGTGATCCTTGCCCCTGGAGTTGCTTTTGGCTCCTGTCCACGCTGTGTCAGCATCTAGAGCTGACAGTCGTGGGAGCTTATGGAGGCACCTGGTGGTTGGTCGGGAGGAAAACAGTGAGTGGAGAGTGTGTGGTCAGTTTTCACATGTGCACTGGAGGAAGCGCACAGAGGGTTACCATCTCTGTGGGCCTGTCTTTGGGGAACTGTCTGTACTTGGGTCCTGGGGAATTATTACAAAGTGGTATGAACCTGGCTGGCTCAGTCGGTAGGTAGACCAAGCAAGCCTTGATCTTGGGGTTGTGAGTTCGAGCCCCAGGTTGGGTTAGATTACTTAAAAAAATTCTTTTAATAAAAAATAATAACAAATAAACAAGGTGGTTTGCAGGTTGGGCACAAACTCTGAACTTCCTCCCTTCACAGGGTCTTCAGTGGAGAAGGTCCCATCCTAAGAAGGCAACTCAGGGAAACTTCCCCTTGCTTGTGAAGCCTGCGGGCATGTGTGTTTGTGTCCACACTGAGATGCACATGACAAAGTGTACACAGTGCCTCAACACAGACCAACAGGTTTTTTCTGTTTACATTTAACTAGCTTTGAACAGCAAGAGGAAACCTTAAATGTCTCTTTTCTTCTCACAAACCCTTTCTCTAATAAAATTACTGGAGGGGGTGCCTGGGTGGCTTGGTCGGTTAAGCGTCCGACTTCGGCTCAGGTCATGATCTCACGGTCCGTGAGTTCGAGTCCCGCGTCTGGCTCTGTGCTGACAGCTCAGAGCCTGGACCCTGTTTCAGATTCTGTGTCTCCCTCTCTCTCTGCCCCTCCCCTGTCTCTGTCTCTCTCTGTCTCAAAAATAAATGAACGTTAAAAAAAAAAATTAAAAAAATAAAATAAAATAAAATTACTGGAGATAAAGCAGGGAATAATTAAAACAGTCATTTAAATCAAGGACCTGGTTTAGCTCAGCCTCCCTTGGAGACGTTTTAGCTTGTGCTGTGCTAATAAAGGCCAGGCAGGCTAAGCTGACCTGAGTGAAAGGCAGAGTGGCCGTTCCAGAGACTGGGGGGAGGGGGTCTTGTAGGCCACTGTGGCTCATTTAGCCCCTCAGTCAATATTTTTGTCCCATTGAAATCAAGTTGAAGCTGACATGGAGGGCAGCCTCCAGGAGGTGGAGGAGAGACCAGGAGGTCAGGAGAGATGAGGAAGAGAGTAGTTCCGGTGTGGAGTCGGACTAGGCTGTCACTCTCTGGGGAAGCTGGAAAGAATTTAGTGTTGTATGTCTACAAACCTCAGTTCTGCCTCCTTATCTGTCACTGGCTGGTTCCTCCTGCGCAGAGAACTCTGTAAAGCAGCAACCCCCAACTTTCTTTTTTTCCCCCTAAAACACACATGAGGCACACTCCCATGGGCATATCCAGATTACAGGCTGCGGCACAGATAAATCAGGCTGTGGGTTGGGAGCAGTTCCCAGTGAAACTCCACTTCTTTCTCTCCCACTCAGACCTCCATACAAGTAAGTGTAAGACGTTACTCTGTATCCCAAGCCCTGGGTGCAGGATTCTGGCCAATAGTGGCTGCCAAATAAATATTTACTAAGTGAAAGATAGCCTGAATCCACACTAATTTGTATTTTTGAACAGTCATTCATAAATTCTAGCATTTTAACTATTAGTTGGCAATTAATCCCAATAAGCCAACAGGATCTTGTGATTGCGAAGGGCCGTTATTGTAGGTTGGGCAGAAGGAATATTTGTTAGCATTTTTATGGGCTCTCAAAGTAGTTTTAGCTCTAAAACTGATAAAGCCAAGCACAAGCTTTATCAGTCCTGCCACTTGACTGTCAGCACTATGTAGATAAACTCATAATAGTTCCCAGAGAGGAACTTTTTAAGAGATTCTTAAGCAGGAAACCAAGGGAGAGAGATTCTTAATGTTGCCTCATTACCATAGACCCTTTGGGGGCTTAACGTATTCTGACAAAAGGTTAATTTCAAGATCTTATACAAATGAAGGATAAGATTCTGCATCGGATCCAAATTTGGGGCATTTTGTCACGTCACTGCTGTTGGCAACTCTGAAAGCTGGAGTTGGTCCAAAAGGACACAGACCACTCCATCTCTTAGGGCATCTTGGGGCAGGGAGATGGTATTAGATGGGGACTGAAGGGCAATTTTACCTTGTCATCCAGATTTTTCTATTCTGGATGATTTTTTAAGATAAGGATTTATGTATCACTTTTAAGAACAGCAGGCATATTTTAAGTAGGCATATTTTAGTAAAAATAATAAACTGTGGTGTCAAGATTGCCAATCAAATATAGTCATGGCAGTTGTCACTCATCTGGCCACCAACAATCTGGATGATTCTGGAAAGTTCCATAGCTGTTGGGAGGTGCTGGGGCAGAGCAGGGGAAGCAGGGAACCAGAGTCAGGTGCACAGCAATCCCAAGCAGGGTCTGTGGTTGCTGAAACCAGATTGTTAGGCATGGAAGCAGTGGTTTAGGGAGTTAGGTGGACCAGATGATAAGTGTGCCCATAATAATGGAAAATGAGTGCACAGGGAGAATTTCAGAAATAAGAAGCAATACAGCACAGGTGATTTGAGCAGGAGTTCGGTACAGACCTTGGTTATTAAGAGCATGAGAGAAGGATCTAGAGAAAAACACTGTAGAGAAACGAGGCTCCATTTCTCCCCGTTGGCTACCCTGCCTGGTGCAATCTGAAGAATACTTCATATTTTCTCCATGGATTCAAGGGCACTTCCCAACTATTTTAGGTATGCCAGCTAGACACAGTGAACTCTGGACCGATAACATTTCAGCCTCAAGATATAATTTCCTTCTCTCAGGAGGCCTTGAACAAAATTTTCTGTTAGTTAATTTGAAAGCCCACACTTTGTACTTCTTAGTTCTAATTGTGGTCATCTTCTTTTCTGAATGGTCTTAGGTTGGTTTTTACATACTTTTGTGATCTAATAAGAGTCTGAAAGATGTTTACATCCCAATATTCAACCGCCCTGAAAAATCGGAGATGCATTGTCATCACTGTTTTAACAAATTACTGTTTTCAAATTGCTATTTTACCCTTTCCCAGACTGATTTTGGTAGGAAGAGTGACTTCTGAAACAACCCATACTTTGTTCCATATAGTATGTTAAAAGGGTGGAGAAGCATAGGAATAGTAATGAGTATTAAGATAATACTGATAAGCCAGGAAAGAAGCAAACAGGCATTCTGAGTAATGAATCGGGAAGCATATCCGGGAGAGGAAGATTTTGAACAACTCTACCTGTAAGGCAGACTTACCTCACGATTTGCTCCTTCTTTAAGGAGCCAGGCCCACTTAGACTCTTCTTTAGAGATAGTCCACTATCCTCTCTGATGCCCTTGAATGTATCACTTCACCTTGCTGAACAAGTTCATCCTCATGTAAAGCAGGGTGAAGATTATTTGCTCCTGGAGAAAGCTGTCACAACATTTTGATAACCAGCAGAAGTGATTCAGCAAGCCTGTCTGTCATTATCTGGTGAGAGGACTCCAGAGGGTGGAGTTTCTTTAGGGAAACTATATGGCCCCCTCCTCCTGCAACACCCACCAAAAGAAGTATGAAGGCCAACATAATGTACTGGTATGGTGTTAGTATTAACTGTAATAAATTAAATATAATAATTGTGCTTTTATCCATCTGGTTCTCTATTGCTTAGGGTTTTAGGGAAAACTGAAAAATCAATAAGGCAAAATATATCAATAAGGCATTTATACTGATGAAAACAGACAGGAGTTGTTTTTTTTGGTTTTTTGGTTTTTGTTTATTGGTTTGGTTTGGGATTTTTTGGTTTTTGCTTTTGACTAGAGATATTTTAGGGACTTTGAAGAAAGGACCTGAAAATTATCACTCAGCCTGGTATTTATTTTGCAACATATGCTGACTTCTAACTTTCAGAGCTGACCAACCTAATCCTTGATCATCCCAGAATGAGTTTAGGAATTGTGATCATTTCCTTTTTACTGGGTATTTGCATACATCACTCACCAGCTAGGTTTAGAAGGATGAGCAGCAGTCTCTCTGTGCTGAAATAGAATGATGTGAATTTAGGAACAACCTGAAATGTTCATTTCTCAGTTAGCCCTTAATGAGCATTTATGTAGCATGAAAATATAGAGAGAAGAAAACTGTCTTCCATAGTGTCCTTTTTAAATAGGCTAATAAGAATGGTTGGGGTTTTATATTTTCATCTATGTTTTGCATTAGGACTTTCATGGATATTTGCTCTGTGTTGAGGGGAAGGGTCAATGTATATAAATAAGAAGAAGGATATCTGGCAAGATTGGAAACATGACCTCTTGCCCTCCAAAGCCTGGGAAGCCCTAGTGAATGCTCCCAATCTTAGCAGTGTATGGACACGGTGTGAACTCTCCCCTCTGCATACAGAGTGGGGGTTAGAGGTTAATGAATGAGTGCTCTCCTCACCCACGAGATCCTGTTCTATGGTGGTTTTATAAATAAGGGCTTAAATGGGGTCAGAATAGGACCTGCATATTGCTTCCAAACCCTCTAAATCTTTTTGAAGTGATGGCGTTCAGAGATGACACCCTTCCACCAGGGAAGGGAGGCGTGGGGCTCTTGGGCTTGGGGAACTGGACGGCTGTACTGGTTCAGTATGTCTAAGAGAAGGACCAAATGGAAAACAAAGTGGGGGGGGGGGTCCTTTGCTGCCCCCTATTCTTCTCTAGTAATCCCTTAAAAAATAATTGCAGACCCAAACCTCTGGCCTCTAGCACATTTTCCACTTGATTAGAGGCCTTTGTGAGGTCGGGAAAGGGACCCGCGGCCTTGTACATTGTGCTGAGGCCTGAAATGTCCAGCTGGGATTTTTTTCCATCAAAAGGGGATTTTAGTAAAACCATTATCAGGGGCTTAA